GTTGCTCAGGTTGGCTTTGATCCTCCTGCCTGAGCCTCCTGAAATGTTGGGATTATAGGCATGCACCACCACACGCAGCGTGATGATTAGATCTTGAGGACAGAGCCTTCATGACTGCATTGATAGTGTTGTCATGGAAGAACGTTAAGTTGTCTGAGAGTGGATCTATGATAAAAGCAAGTTTGGCCCTTTATTGCTGTCTGGTTCTTGCCCTCTCTTTCTGCTATGAGGTCATGTAGCACAAAGGCCCTTGCCATATGGCCACACCATGCTTTTTGGGCTTCCCAATCTCCAGAACCAAGAGCCAAATAATCTATTCCTTTTTTTTTTAAACAGATAGATAAGCTTTATTCAAATGTCTGTATAAATATGACTTGATGTCAAACGGGAAGTTTTCCAAAGGGTTAAAATGTATTAAGTAATAAAACTCAGTGCTTAGGCTGGGGTTGTTGCTCAATGGTAGAGCGCTTGCCTATCATGCATGAGGCACTGGGTTTGATCCCCAGCACCACATAAAACAACAACAACAACAACAACAACAAAACAACTAAATAAACAAAGGTATCTACAACTAAAAATATTAAAAAAAAAACACACAAAAACTCAGTGCTTCCCTTTGGTCTGTCTCTGAATTTAGTTGACCAACACATTATTATTAGTAGACTGCACTCGTTGCTCACATTTCTCAGATCTTTGGGTGGCATTTCCAATGGAAATTTCTCTGGAAAGCTCTTAAATTGCTTTCAGTGATAGAAGGACATGACTTTATCTGCTCATCTCTACTCTTGAGGCAAAACTGCACCCCTCAATTCTCTTGTTTAAATTGTGGCTGTTTGCAAATGAGGAACATTAATTTTTTATTTTATTTTATTTTTGACCAATTTGTGTTTATTACTCTTCAAAGCAGAATATTGACTTGGGTACTACATATTTCCATTCACAACCCTTACTGAATTACTTTTTGAACAGCTTTGTAATACACCTAGGGAGGTTTAAGTTTTGTTCCTCTAAATACTTTTCTTTGAAAAACATGCCCTGGAGAGTTCTTCCCAGCAAGTTGTTTCAGTTTAACATACTTGATTCTAGACGACTAGTATATACACAATAGATAACTATAAGGGATAAAAAGTTTAAAAAGTGGATCCTAAGAAGATGAAACTCCAGCCATTTTAATATATATATATATATATATATATATATATATATATATATATATATATATATATAAACATCAAGGTCTATCTTGGAACACTTCAGGGACAAAAGATTTGGTCTGGTCTACTAAGGGATGCAACTTGGTAGCAAACACTTCAAACCACAAAGTTAATGATAGATTATATGTCTTAGAACAAACATCTCAACCTGTTAAAATAAGCCAATATGAAGCTAGAAAAAAAAAAGCATTACTAGTTCTGACTTAGTGCCTAAAGAATTACAGTATCACTTAAAAGTACAAAGAAATCTTATCTCCCCCTTAAGTAGTTATTGTCTTGCCATACAGACTATTTAATAAATGTTATCAAAAACAAAGAACAAAACAATCCTTGAAAACATATCAGGAATGAAGTTGAAGTAGGGAACACACGTATAAGTGGTTCTTCAGAGGCAAATGAGGAACATTAATTTTAACATATAAAAATAAGGTGTAATATCTATTTAAAAAATTCTTTAAAATCCTGGATTGATGATGGGTACCTCATTGGTACATGCCTATAATTCCTGAGAATTGGGAGGCTGAGGCAGGAGGATCACTAACTTTGTGAGACCCTGTCTCAAAATTAAAATAAATAAATAAATAAATAAAAAGGACTGGAGATGTAGCTCAAGGGTTAAGTGACCTGGGGTTCAATTCCCAATACCAAAAGAAAAAAAAAGTTAGAATAAAATAAAATTATGGGCCAATATGATATCTATGACTTACAACTAAGAATAAAATGCTAAATTCTATGAGATGGAATTTCTGAGTGATTTTAATAGAAATTTACTAGAAGCAATCAGAAAAATTTCAGGCTGGTAGTAGAGAATATATTTAACATGTTCAAGGCTCTGGCGTTGGTCCCTAGCACTAAAACAAAATGAAACAAAAAATTATTTCTTTTTCAACTCCCAGTTTAGTTTTGAAAAGCAACATATTTGTTGACAAGTACTAATGATATTAATCTGGAAGGCAGAGATTTGTACCCTAGGAGAGCTGGGTCTTTCATGTAACGGACGAAGGAGGCGGTCTTCTTTTATTTTTCCCTTACATTTTTAATAAAAGAACCAGTATGGTAAAAAGGCATATAGTACCAAAAGATCTAAAATAATAAGTAAATATGCTTCTTTATAACATGACAGATCTGATGTCTTCCCAAACCTTAAACGGTCTTATGAGTAACACAGCAACTAAAGTGAATCTGTCTTTTCAGGCCTTTGAAACTGTGTTGATTGTCTCCTATAATACCTCTGCTACAGAGGAAACACGCAGTCTTCTTCTTCTTCTTCTTTTTTTTTTTAAATATCTTTTTAGTTGCCAATGAACCTTTATTTAACTTGTTTATTTATGTGCAGGGCTGAGAATCGAACCCAGGGCCTCACACATGCCAAGCAACTGCTTTACCCCTGAGCCACATCCCCAGCCAAGTCTTCTCTTTCATAAAGAAAATTTAAAGGGCAACATGCACACACTGCTCAGAGACAGCAAAATCCAGGTGGCACCTCAGATACCACTGTATCTAGTTGTGGCTCTAGAGTCCCAGATAACATCCGAGGATGCTGCTGCAGGAGCTCAGCTAAGTCCTTCCTCAACGCTGAGGATCCTCCTGACCCGCTGCACTTACTTGGAGAAGACAGTGACTCTGCCAGCGCATAGGGAGGGGAGAGAGGCATCCTCAAAGAGGTGAGCTAAAAATGCATCTGCGGTCGGTGCTCTTCTGCAGCTTTTTAAAAAAATACACATTACTTGGTGCTGAGGATTGAACCCAGCACCTTGCACGTGCTAGGTGAGCGCTCTACCCCTGAGCTACAACCCGATCCCCTCTTCTGCGGCTTTTTGATCTCCTCAATCCAGTCATGTCTCCGCCGACTGTGCCTCGTTGGGGCCTCGGACTTGTGGCTCGGGCAGCGCGGGCCCTTGGCGGGCTGCAGAGGGTGCGGGCATTCGGCCGCCGGCACCGCTCCTGCTCTGCCTTCCCGATCCAGGGGCTGAAGGTCGGCTCTGGACAGAGGACGTGAGAGCGCCTGGGCCGGGTGCTACGGAGGAGCCTGTGCTCGGTTGCCGTCAGCGACGCCTTTGATTCAAATCTCCTCTCTATTCTTCATACACACCCAGTCTGTGGCATTCTATTGTAGCAGCAGAAAATGAACTAAGATCTTAGGGCTGCGATGACCTCCATACTGTGTCCTTTATTATCATTGCTGAGATTCTGAGGCGCTGTGTTTGACAGAAAAGCATGTCTTAAACCTCAGATTTTTTGGGGAAAAATGTGGACAATCACTTTCCCAGCAAAATTCCCTCGATTGTATTTGATATCTCCCCTCCCTGTTGGAATTTGGGCCTGCTTCACTTCTTCTATGCTCGGTGGCCTGCTTGCCCCTGGCTCTCTCCTTTGCAATTCAGCTTACATGTTGCCACTAGAATAATCTTTCTGAAGCAAAGCTGTACTACCTATGTCCTTTCTCCCCTACTCATGGCTTTTATGATTCCTCTTTGCGTCCAGAATGAAGTCCAAAATATTGTTCTATCCGCAACTCTCAATTTTCCCTTTCAGTTACAAAGTGCTCTGGCAAACTGGAGTGCAGTCATTCTTCACACACATGAGTATTGAATGCTGGCTAAAGTCCCCTCAGCCTAGAATATACCTTCCTTTCTCATCGGCTTGATGAGATCCTTCCCATTGTGAGAGTCTAGCTCAGATACTGTCTCATGAAACATTCACATCCTCCCAGTTGGAGAAGTGAAAAACCCTCATTTTGTTTGAATTGCTATTGAAATTGTCCTCTTACAAGTTTGTTAGCTTTTAACATAAAAGGATAATGTTTTCTTTTTATCTGCTTTCATTACTTCCCATACCTCATGTAGATGGTAGCTATTCATTAATTGTAGTGATTTCAGTTAAGAGTTACTATAAATCATTTAGTTGTTTTCCTTCTCTTACTCATTTTCATGTGAGTTGCTCTTGGTGATATGACTTCAATATTACTTACGTGCTATTTACATGTCATATCTATAGAAAACCTCCTTTCTGTGCTCCTGAGTCAGTATGAGAAGGCTAAGTGAGCAGCAATAAAGAAAAATTTCCCTTCTGTTCATAGAGTCTTAGACTTGAGGTAGCAACACTAAGTATTATGTAATACAGCTGTGGTAAATTTGTTAGCTTAAAGCCTCATTTGGATTATAATTAGTAATTTTACACCACACTTCATTCATTGTTTTACTTTTTTTGTAGAGTTATAAAAATCACCTCTTTTATTGCCTTTTTTTTGTTTTTGTTTTTGTACTGGGGATTGAACTCAGGGTCACTCAGCCACTGAGCCACATCCATAGCCCTTTTTGTATTTTATTTAGAGACAGGGTCTCACTGAGTTGCTTAGTGCTTCACTTTGGCTGAGGCTGGCTTTGAACTTATGACCCTCTTGCTTCAGCCTCCTCAGCTACGGGGATTATAGGCAGGTGCCACTGTGTCTGGTTCTTTAATTGATTTTTTTTTTTTTGAAAGAGAGGGAGAGAATTTTTTTTTTAAATATTTATTTTTTAGTTTTCGGTGGATACAACATCTTTGTTTGTATGTGGTGCTGAGGATCGAACCCAGGCCAAACGCATGCCAGGCGAGCGCTCTACCGCTTGAGCCACATCCCCAGCCCCTTTAATTGCTTTTTAATTGTACATAAATATATACACATAGCTTGTGTTTAACTCATACTCAGAAGCTTTCTATCAATCACATATTCTCTTAAAAAAAAAAGAAAGAAAGAAAGATAAAAGGAGAACCTTATTTACTTGTGAGTCCCTATGCCTGAGGATGTTTGTGATGGTTTTCACAGAAATTTTATGATCTGGCATTTATTTCAAAATTTTTCCAGGATTGTCATTTTCAGTTACCCTTTAAAAGATATGATATGTGTATAGCATGTATTTTTAAAAAAGGTCTAGTGCACTTGTATTGCCAGCATCTGAGTCAATAGTAAAATTATCGTCTTTTATGTTCTCATAATTTGCTCCATGAATTTAGCAATAGTAGTATATCCTCAGTTAAACAAAACAGTGTATTAATATCTATTTTGCCAATCCAGCTTTATTAAAAATACTTTTTGGCTGAGCACAGTGGCACACGCCTGTAAGCCCAGTGGCTCCGAAGGCCGAGGTAGGAGGATCTCGAGTTCAAAATCAGCCTGTGCAAAAATGAGGTGCTAAGCAACTCAGTGAGACCCTGTCTCTAAATAAAATACAAAATAGGGCTGGGTTTGTGGCTTAATGGTTGAGTGCCCCTGAATATTCCTCGGTAGCACCCCCTCCAATACTGTTCATAAATAATCATGCATTTCACCCAGGACATGGGCAGACAATCATCAACAGTATACAGCAGCTTCTAAACTCCCTTTCTGAACTACCAGAGCAAAAAACTACTATAAAACTCAATGGTATCTTCATTTGATGCTCTGTACAGGGTAAGTTTCACATTTAGCATGTTGTTTAACAATTTTTCATGAGCCAACCCTACCTTTAAGATTTATCAGTCAGAAAATCCAGAATTTAGGAAAGGAACTGCTGCTCCTTTGAGGGACACTGGAAAGTACGTATTAGTAAAACCTACTTCCGGGTGGGGGATCCGGTCTCAATCCATCTCTGGGTTTACGGGAGTTAAGTCCATGCTGATTGCAGAGAGGAAGGAGGACATAAAGATGAAGGTTTTTTTGGCCAAGGTGGCTCCTGGGAGTTGAGAGTAAGTCTTTCAAAACTAGCAGGGAAAGGTGTCCCAGGCAATGCCCCAGCAATCCAGCTTCGGAGTCATTCTATTAGTGACATATTCTCCTTCCCCCCCAAATAAAAACGAAATGCTAACAACATAGCTTTAAAAAAAAAGTAAAACAAAATTCTGTATTTTTATAAACTTGACTAAAAAATAGTATTCCAAACCGTACAGTCAGCAGAAGTTCACAATTATTGAAAATGCACACACTTCACTTGGCATCTCCAGCACCTTCAGCTTTCTGTGTCGTCTGTTCTAAATGAAAATCTTCATTTTCTGCAGGGTTATTCCCATCCTTACCAGTGTCAGTTTCTCCCTCTTTCCCTTTGGATACCTTCTTTTCCTTCTTTGCAGGGGTCTTTTTAGGCTTGGGCTCTGGCTTCGGAGGAGCAGGTTTAGCAGACAACCTTGCAGATCTTCTCTCTAGTTGGTCCTTCACCTTGGCTTTACCTTCAGCATACTCTTCAGCCTTTCTCTTGGGCTTGGTGGAAACTATGGCGGCGGGATTTAGACTCTGGGATACAACCACGAGGCTTTGCTCGGTCTGGGGATCGTTCTCGCCTCTTCATTCTGCTCAGAGATCTACTACTGACGTTTTGATTTGCTCTTCAATATTTTCTCTATTCGCATGTGGGTTCTGCCACTGCCTCTTCAGTAAGAAAGAAATGTCACTGGAACTCTAGTGGCGGTTGCATCTGGCTGCCTGATAGCATTGGACCACTAGATTGCATGCTTCCTCTAGCAACTCTTGCACAATTGTAGGAAATATTGCTCAGACTTCATGATGGAAAGGAAGCGTTTAAAAAGAAAGACTGTGTTGGAGCCATTTTATTTACGGAGTCTATTGATTTCGTTGTTTGATTTCAATATTTTCTTTGTTATCATGTATTTCCTGCCCTGGCACATTAGGAAAGAAAGATCTGTGATTATTGTACGTACATTATTATTGCATTTGACTGCAAGGTAGCGTGGAACCACTAGAGGGCATGCTCTCTCTAGTAACTCTCCATAGTAGGAAGGGAAACGTTTAAAAAGAAAGAAATGAAGACTCTCGGGGTGAATTTTGCCTATGGGGTCTGAGCGAGTATGTATTCCAGAGGTTGTTAAGAATGTAGGAAAGTAGCTGTTTGAGCAGGGAGAAAGTGAAGTACAAAATGATACTTTCTTCAGACCTTAATCTTAACTAAATATTTGAAAAGCAAAAGCATTTATTAGTGACATCCCCTCTGTCCCATCTCCACCCATAATAGATTATTATGTGGACAATAAAGAGTAGTGATCAGGGCCACGGATCTGGTAGGAGACAACCTCTGGTCAAAATTTTGCTCTGTTACTTACTGGGTTTTAGACTTTAGTTTCCTCATATGCAAAACAAGGGGAACAGTACCTACTTCATAGAGTTATTGTGACAAGAAAATAAGTTAAACAATTAAAATATAATTTTTTTCTTGAGGCAATCAGCTTCATGATGGGTTTCCTCATTAACTGAAAACTAAAAGTGTTTGGAATAGGACCTGGTACATGGTAAGTTCCATGTAAATATCTGCTACTACTACTTCCTTTGCTACTACTAATGCTTCTTGTGTGACTCACTCATTCCTGCTGTCAGGGTGTTTAATGGGATGGTGTTAGGGCAAAGTGATGTTGTAGTAGAACTGAGGTAGGTGTCCCAGAGTTGGGAATAAGGTAGGAGGAACCAGCTGATAGGGAGGAATGGAGTAAGGGATGATGGGAGACATGCTTTGGAGAGCTAGCTCCCTGGACCGGACTAAATGTATAAGTGAGTGCTGAAGACTTCATCCTCTCTTGTAATTCTGCACAGTCCCCTTTATAACTTTATATTATATAGCTTTTTGTAGAATTAAAAAACCCAAACCAACTGCCTCTTCACCCTGTATGTTTTGAGCAGTGGTCATTTGCTAGGCACTAGCTAAATCCTTTGTATGAATTGTCTCATTAAATCTTCATACAACCCTCCAAGGTAGGTAATATGGTTTTCTATATCTTACAGATGAGGAACACAGACATAGGGAGGGTAAATTCAACTTTATCTACTATTTATAAAGTGTCACTATGTTAGAATAAAACATAATGACTAATGAACTCACTGTAGCCTACCTCTGCACCTTCATTACAAAAAGAGGGACTCTCCATATTCATCTTAATATTCCAGACATTCAGATATAATCATAATGCTGCATTATTTCATCCTTAGTGCCTTTGCACACTCTGATCTTTCTGCCTCAAATAACTACAAGACTTAAATATTCCTTATATGCTTTGTCAGTGTTGCAGAAAATCTCATTTCTGTGCTCCAGAATTTTTTCATAGGTCCTTCTTCCTCTACTATAGAACTTCTCCTGAGAAGCTCAAGTGGAAACAGTCTCTTCCTTCTCTTTTTTTGCCACACCTGCATAGAGTACAGTGTGATACTATGCCTCTTCCACTGTACTGAAATTATTCACATTCATGTCTATTGGACTTTATCCCTTTACAATAGGCATTGCATTGCTTTCTTCCCCCTGACTCCCAATAATGTTTGAACACAATAAAGACAAATAAAAGGGAATAAGGGATAAAAGAAATGTAAGAATGACTAGTATTACAACCAAGTTTTAATAGTTAAAGCTTATATTGGGAGATAGTTATGATAATATTCACTTAATGAATACTAAATAAATCTAGATTTCAACATTTTTGAAGGTAATTATATATTTATGTCTAATTTTAGTATTATGTTTTGTGAAAACAGTGTGGAAAACCATTTTTGTGAACATATCTGAGTTTTAGGTATATACCCTAAAAATTCAAGAAATTACATTTTATTCACACAATATTATACCTTGATATTACAGAACTCACTATGTTAAAAAGTTATTAAATAAGAAGTAACAAAAATTCAGACAGAATAAATAGAAAGGACTAGAAATTAAATTAATTTTTTAAATTATATCAAATATAACTAGGGTTTCAAAAATATTTTCCTTATTGAAGTTTTGTGTCATATTGGGAACAACAGTGTCTTTCAGTATCTTTTATTTAATTATTTTTCTTTGATGTATTTTTTTCTTCTTTATTTGCTACTGCCACCAAAATCTGCACCTGTGGTGACTCCACATGGGCCAGTGATGTAGGCTTCTTGGTCCACTGCAGCCTCCTACTCAATGTGGCTTAGAGTTTGTGGGTCACCCCTGTCCCAATCTGACTGCTGGCAATGACAGGTGTGGGCCAGATGCTCCAGAGCTGTCCGTTTGCAGGGCTAGTTGATTCTGTAGGTGAGTTGTTACATACTCCTTAGCAGATTCCAACTTCCATGGCCACTGTCCTGCTTTAAGTATCTTTTAATACTCTTTTCAGGAATCTTTTACTAGAATGAACCACAGAGCTTGGATTGTATCATACTTATGATTACAGTTTTATTGTATTAAATGAATACAGATCAGAATTAAAGGGATGGTCACATGGGGTAAAGTCTAGAAGGGTCCCAAATATGAAAATTCCATTGACCCCATGTATTTGTCACCTTTCCAGCACTTAATATATGGAAATGCAGAGAGTATTGCCAACCAGAGGAACACTCTGAGTTTTGATGATCAGAGATTTTTTTTGGATTCATTATGCCGGCATGATTGCTCAAATAGTGAGTTTGAATCCTATCTCCAGTATTTCCTCCTTGCCAGGCCTGGTATCTCATGGCTCAGAGCCCCAACACTCTAATCACATGGTTAGTCTTTGAGCATGGGCAGCCCCAACCTGAATCATCTTGTTAGCCTAAATTATCTAGGGCCCACCATGAAGAGACATCAATAGCATATAGTATCAGGGTCCACTATGGACGGCAAAGACACTCCAATTCCTCAGGAAATTCCTAAGAGTTGAAGGTTATCTCCCAGCAACTGGAATAAAGCCCAGACAAATTTCCTTCTTTCACAGATCAGCTGCAATGTTATGCAACATACTGAGAATAAATCAACAAGTAAAGGCATTCTATCAGCTTCTCAGGAACTTCCACTCCTCCCTCAGGATAGGTCCCATAGCATATATGACATGCAAATAATATTAAATCCATAAGATATCATTAAGGACTATTATCCTTAAAATTATAAATAAATGGAGGAGATCCAACATGGCGGAGGGCGCGGAGAGATCAAGTCTCTGACCTCTTCAGCTGCGCGGGCATAGGGAGTCGTAAACCGTCTAAATGCTGTTTGCTCAGGATCACTAGGCAATGCTGAGCTGACGTGGATCTGGGGCGAACAGTCTGGGCCTCTCAGAACACACACCGAGCCTGAATAGGCTGAATTAAAGCTCCCGTTCGCCTGCTTCTTGCAGACAGACTGCTGTGACTCAGCACTAAACAATCCCGCTGAAACAACTGGTCCGCCCTTCTGCACCTACGGAGGTAAATGCCAACTGAGCCTTCATAGGCAGTGGCCACAGGATTGAGACGGGGCTTGGGAGAGCCAGTCAGGACCCACCCGTTGCATTGGTCACCCAGCAAAGGGAAACGAACTGTTGTCATTTGCATGGGATACCACCATGGCAGAGAACTGACGTCACCAGAATGCGGCGGAGGAGATAACTTCATTGAAACCAGCGGCAACAGGTGTGTAACCCCCTAGCCTTCCCTCTCCACACAACGGGGAAACCTTAAGGGCCCCTCCCAGCTCTCCCGTAAGGGCCCCTCCCAGCTCTCCCATGAGTGCGATAGCCAGACCCAGGGAATCAGGAGTGGCGCGGGACCCACCGTGCGGAACTCCCGGCTACCGCTCTCACCAGTGCTGACAACTGAAGTCTCTTGCACCAGCTATCGGGGGCGTGGCTACCGGAGGGCAAGCAAATTTCGCTGAGCGTTCTCAGCCCCAAGCTCTACAAACTTAGGGTCTAAGGGAATGGCAAACAGGGAGAGTGTGCACAGTCGTTCATGAAAACAGGGCTCCCGGGAGCAGCAGACCTGGCGTGTAGCCAGTATTTTGGTGAGCATCACCGGTGAGCGGGGCCTGGCTTGAGGAAAAGTGGGGAAGTGACTAGACACAAGAGAAGGCCCTAGGCACTCAGGATTGGAGACCCGCCCAGTCTGGGAGGAGGAGCTGCTGCACAGTGATTGGTTCCCGAGTATTGAGAGGAGAAGCTTGGCCCGGTGGGCACAGCTCCACCTCTTGGAAGAGAAGTTAATCAAACTCTAAGACTGCATTTATTAATTTTTTTTTAATTTGGGTTTTTTTTTTTCATTTTCATTTTTTTTTCTTGTTGTTTTTAAAATTTTTAAAAATTTTTTAAATTTTAATTTTAATTTTTTAATTTTTTTAAAATGTTTTTTCTTTTCTATTTTTTTCTTTTGTCTTTTCATTTCTTTTCAATTTTCTTATTCCCCCTTCCTTGAATTATAGCTGCTTACTCTCATTCTCTTTAGTGACTTCTTCCCTTCCCTTCTAATACCTTTCCTCCCAAGCATCAAATAAATTTATAAGAGTAAACAGTAACTCAGCAGTCAAACAGAACAAGAAGTAACATGAGCAGCATGAAAAAGCAAGGAAGAAAAGGAGTACAAACAATGCAGGACAGCCTAAATATTCAGGAGGACCTAGAGTCATCAGAAAAATGGTCAAATAAAGAACTCAAGGAATACCTTAGACAGATGGAATGGAACCTTAAAGAGGATATGAGACAGCAAATTCAAACAGTGAAAGAACACATTGAAAATGAATTACATAAACAGATAAAAGAAGAAGTTAAGCATCTTTATCAGGAGATAGAGATTATAAAAAACAATCAAAAAATAATTCTAGAAATGAAGGAAACTATAAACCAAATTAAAAACTCAAATGAGAGTATCACTAACAGAGTGGAGCAAGTAGAAGCCAGAACATCAGATAATGAAGACAAAATATATCATCTTGAAAAGAGTCTAGCCAACTCAGAAAGGCTGGTAAAAAATCACGAGAAAAACATCCAAGAGATATGGGATAACATAAAAAAGCCAAACTTAAGAGTCATCGGAATAGATGAAGGTATAGAGGTTCAAACCAAGGGAATGAGCAACCTGTTGAATGAAATAATTAAAGAAAACTTTCCAGATATAAAAAAGGAAATGGATGTACAAATTGTAGATGCATACAGGACACCGAGCATACAAAATCACAGTAGACCAACACCAAGACACATTGTTATGAAGATATCCAATATACAGAACAAAGAGAAAATATTAAAAGCTACAAGAGAAAGGAGGCAAATTACATTCAGGGGTAAACCAATAAGGTTAACAATGGATTTTTCATCACAGAAGCTGAAAGCGAGAAGATCCTGGAACAACGTATTTAAAACACTGAAAGACAATGGATGCCAACCAAGAATTTTGTATCCAGCAAAATTAAGCTTCAGGTACGACAATGAAATAAAAATCTTTCATGATAAACAAAAGTGAAAAGAATTTGCAGCCAGAAAACCAGCATTGCAAAGCATCTTGAGCAAAACACTACATGAGGAAGAAATGAAAAACAATAACCAAAACCATCAGTGGGAAGTGCCTCAGTAAAGACAGAGGGTGGTGGTGGGGGGGAAGCTAATCATGGAGAAACAAACTAAATTAAAAAAAAAGATAAATAATCAAACATGGCTGGAAGTACAAACCATATATCAATAATAACTCTAAATGTTAATGGCTTAAACTCTCCAATAAAGCGACATAGGCTGGTAACATGGATTAAAAAAACAAATCCAACAATATGCTGCCTCCAGGAGACACATCTGATTGGAAAAGACATACACAGGCTGAAGGTGAAAGTATGGGAAAAAATTTACCACGCACACGGTCCTCGTAAGCAAGCAGGTGTGGCCATCCTCATGTCGAATAAAATTGACTTCAAGACTAAGTTAATCAAAAGGGATAAGGGAGGACATTATATACTGTTAAAAGGAACCATTCACCAACAAGACATAACAATTATCAATATTTATGCACCAAATAATGGTGCTGTGATGTTCATAAAACAAATTCTCCTCAAGTTCAAGAATCAAATAAACACAATAATTATGGGTGACTTCAACACACCTCTCTCACCATTGGACAGATCCTCCAAACAAAAGTTGAATAAAGAAATTGTAGAACTCAATATCACAATCAATAACCTAGACTTAACTGACATAAATAGAATATATCA